AAGCTAGCAAAGGACAGTGAAGAGTTAGCAGGTGAAGGGAATGGCTATAGTGTGTATAGGGACTGTCAACCCATGTTCTGTGAGCCCAGGACATGCTATGGATTGGCACTCCCTAACATTATCCAGAATTTGGTGACAAAGCAGGCAGGCTTGCTGAAAATACCCAAGAGACCCCTGTGTTAGACTTAAGAAAGTGGCAAGAAGCCAGATTCATGTTTTCTAGGGTTGTAGGCTCCAAATCTGGAATTCTAAAATGAGGATGGAAAAAAGTCAGAGAGCCAACAACTCGTGTGACAATGAAACAAACTGTCACAAACATTATATCAGCAGTGAATAGATTATATTTGATATGTGAGTCAGAAAGTAGCTGTAAAGCTAGGGCTAGGGCATACAGACCCTCACACGCAGGTCCACGCTAGGTAACTGGGAAAGATCCCAGGAGCCATTGGCAGACGACATGAGCTCAGTCCTCAGCAATGGTAGCAGCAGCTTACAGGTCCAGTGGCAGCAGTGGCAGCCTGTCAGGGCATCCCAGGGACAGTGGCAATAACAGCTTACATCAACAGCCTCCAGCAGCAGTAGTGGCCTCCATGTGGCCCCCTGGGGACAGGGGGACAGCGTGGATCACAGCCACTCGTCCTTTTTACTTAAGTCAGCCCAGTACACGTGGGTGCACATGCACAATTGCATTAGACAATAACCAAGGAACACCTGGGCACACATGCCAATTTGCATCAAATACTCGGCAAGATTCTGAACATCTGAGGGGTCCTGACCATTCTCCTATATTTTCCCAACAGTAACCCATCCACTCAGATATGTGGGACAGTTTTGCTTCTAGAAATCTACAGATCGTAAATCCTTTGTCTTTAACGATGTCCACCTGACAGCTCTATGAGTTACTCAGCTGTGTCCGGAGCTCTTCCCTTTCCCTGGAGGCCGAGAGGAGGCTCTCCTTATTTCCCAGCCCCTTAAGCTTCTGATTCTCTTTATCCAACCTCAGAAGAAACTTTTAAAGGTGAGTTGACCTTACAGTTAGTAAGGCATCAGTTATAGACATAACAAATAACTAACTTAAGAGTAATCAAATGGAAGATTTCAGCAACACCAGCAAACACTGGATTCTTATGCAACATCCTAGAACATGAAAGAGAACAGAGATTGACATGTGAGCATCTACTGCATGCAAGCCATTGTGCTTACATGCAGCACATGAAAATAAATATATGAAATAAAGTTCCTGTGGTGGTACTTGTGAATAGGTATACAATGAATGTGAGCTCCTCCTTATCCTTCTCTTCCTTTGCATGGTTATCTAATAATTTAGTCTTTGCAACAATTTATGAAATTGGCATTATTATCTTTAATTTCCAGATGGGAAAATTGAGGCTTAGCAAAATTAAATTGACCAACTCTGTCCAGCTAGCAGCGGTGACACAGGGATATAAACCAGGGTCTGTCTGTTTCCAAAAGTCCACGTGCTTTTTCTATGACACGTGGGTACCTACAGCAGTAAGTACACACACACATTCCCTAAGGCTGGTATAGCAAAGCAAGCAATTCTGAAAGCTTGTCAGAACTATTACAAAATCCCCCTTCTATCTGGGGTTTTCCAGGGGAGAACAGAATAAGTCTGCCCCCTTGAGGCAACCCTGCAGGCCGAAGAGCCTCAGGAGCCAGCACCACTGTATTCAAGGGCACCTTGGAGAATGTCAGAGAAGTACCACTCCCCCTCTGCCCTCAGCCAGCTCCCTGCCAGGCTTTGTGTGGGAGGAAGGGGACCCACACCCCAACAAGAGAAAGAATCTATAATACCTGAACACAAGAAGAGGGCATCTTTATCTTTGTAGAAATGAAAAAGAAGAGAAGGAGGCATTGTCCTCTTCTATAATTTTCTCCACGCCTCCCCCCCCGCAAAACACCCTAGTTACACGTTTTGCTTTGAGGTCCATTTGGGTCTTACTTGCAAAGATAATTTCTGTTTATTTGTTTGTTTTTTAATAAAGAAGTCAGGCTCTGAGGTTTGTGTAAATTTAAGATATGGAGGTACTCATTGAAATTCTACAGATGTACTGATCCTGCCCTAGGATTTCTCTCATCAAAAGATTTCTCTTGTAGTGCTGGTGCTGACTTATTAATAAGATCATGCTTTTATTTGATTATTTATCTAATCAAGATTCACCTTCTCTTTAAGCTCATTAAGTCTGCTGCTAATGGAGTGTACTTGATGGTGGAATTACATCCAAGTGAGACAGAATGTATTTGGGTATTAATGGTCAGAAAAAAAGACAGAGCACCCTGTAAGCCCATGTCACCCCTGGAGTAGAGCCTGTGAACTGTCTGCCAACCAAATAGAAAGGATACATATTCAAAAGGTTAGTTTTGTGGAGTAAGGACTGAGCATTACAGTTAAATACACTTGGTAACAGAGCAACAAAAATGACAAGCACTCTAATTATTCCAAAAATCAAGAGAATAATACCCATTCATTATATGCATTATGCTGGGGAAGCTTTTCTAAGGGGCTTTTATGTGAAACTCCTGAGCTAGATTTAGGATTCTGGTTGCTCAACGTTCCCCAGCCTGACTCCCAGTGACTTGCATTGAACCTGTGTGCTTCCACTTAACTAGTCTTCCCAAGTGGTTGCATTACAAACCAGCTTAATAACATCTCTCCTGCACTTAACAGAAACAGACAACTACATCATCTTATTCTTACCTAATGGGTGGTTGCTGGATTCAGTGGCTATAGATAAATCCTATGTTTGAGGCCTTCTTGCCCCACAAATAGGAAATTTCACTTTTTTGTCAGGCTATGAAACCTCTCGCTGCCACAGTGCCACATTGAACAGCAGAGCTGTGCAGTTAACCCAGGCCAGTGCCTCCCCTCCTTGGAAATGCTGCAGCTCAGACTTGGCACTGTAATGGGCTAAATTATTTATCCAGCTGGATAAGAGAGAAAGCAGCTAAGAGCTTCCTGAGTTTATAGCCTCTGCCCCTGGATTCAGACTGCGATAGGAAACAGGCCAGACTCCATCAGCAAAGAGAAAATAAAGACTTTTCCTCCAAAGTCCTTGCTCATCACTTTTCATGCCTGACATGAGCTCCCACCGTGGTGAAAATGAGCTGTCCCCATCAGTCTTGGATTCACTGAGTACTGTATGGCAGGCCCTGTGAAACATAAGGTGCATGAACAGTGGCATTCGCTGTCAGTGAGTTCACAGTGCACTCATTTGGACGGACAGGGAAAGTGTATGGAAGTTAAGGTTCTCATTCATTCGTTTGTTTCAGACACACAGCGTGTCGGGCACTGTGCTAGGTACTGGGATGCAGGACTGAAGACCTCAGTTTGGTGAGCAAGATAGGAAAACAGGATGATGGAAATACCACCTGACTAATGCAAAGATGGGCAAAGGGTGTTAACAGCAGTGAAGGAAGAAATGCCACAAGGCAGGATCTGATTAATCTCTCAGTAAGTGATACATCCTGTAAAAGCCATGCGATCAAAGCAGTTCTTAGCTTTGGTTTCAGTGTTGCTGTAAACAACATATCCCAATACCAGTAACCTGTGCGATGATTTCTAGGACCCTCTCTGTGTGAAAGACAGCTGGTTTAGCCGAGGCCAGTCAGTTCTTAGCTTTGGTTTCAGTGTTGCTGTAAACAACATATCCCAATACCAGTAACCTGTGTGATGATTTCTAGGACCCTCTCTGTGTGAAAGACAGCTGGTTTAGCCGAGGCCAGTACTTTGCAGTCTTTCGATTGGTCGTGCGGATCAGGCAGGGGTCTGGATGGAATGAGGTCACTGATGACAACAGTGTCTGCAAATATAGGAGTGTCCCTCCTTTGGGGAATTCACCTCAGTCTCAGGAGCCATCCTTCAGGTCAGAGAATACAGCCCTGATCTTTATGACCTTTTATTGTGGGACTTGGGAGGGAATGAAAATGATCACCTTCAAACTTGAGTTTCTTATTTTTTACACAATTGCTTTTCCTGTGACAGGTTGTACTTAATGTCATGATTATGTAAATGTTATTTCTGTTACTTGTTACAGTCTCTGGACTTCTGAATCTAATTTCTGTCTCTTTTAAGATATCTGTCATGATGTCCTATATTCTGTGTATTTGCGTACATGGCCCCTTCCACCCCGTTAATTCCTTAAGAGCAGGAAACAAGCCTTATTCGTTTTTCTAAACTCCTTATCATAACTAAGCACACGGCCTTGCATATAGTAGGCACTTAATATCTGTTGAATGCACTATATCATGCAAAAGTGGAGGATGCACAGGGTATTTGGGTTTAGGACCTGCCTTTGAAATTTACTAAGGAATAGCCCTTTTCTCTTTAGGAAAGATTTGTGCAACTTAGTAAGAGAGGGAGAAACTAGCTTGCAATGATGAGGGCTGGAAATGACACATCCCCAGTTAGCCAGATCAGCAAAATCATTGCTAATGTTCAGCAGCAAGGCAGATGTCAGAGTCAGGTTACCCCCACATTCAAACCTGAAATTCTTACTGTAAAGCGATGCCCACTGTGTGAACCAGTATTGGGTACCTAGAAATACAAGGCCTGGGGCCAGCCCGTGGCTCACTTGGGAGACCGTGGTGCTGATAACACCAAGCCACGGGTTCGGATCCCTATATAGGGATGGCCAGTTAGCTCACTTGGGAGGGCGTGGTGCTAACAACACTAAGTTGAGGGTTAAGATCCCCTTGCTGGTCATCTTTTTTTTAAAAAAAAAAAAGAAATACAAAGCCTGCAGTTGAATCAGTCTCATGCATAAGCACAAAAAGAGGGAGATCTATGAATAAAAATGACATAAAATTTGGCTATGGAAAACATAGTAGACATCACTATTGCTTAGAAGTTCTCTTAAAGGTAGCACCAGGCAAGAAAAAGTGAAAGGCCTGTAAACCTGATACCAACCGCACAGGGAGTGATGCTGCCTACAATGGAGTTTGAGTTCTTGATCACCTTGTTTCTGTGTATTATTCTCTAGGCGGCATTGGCTGTGTAGGTCGAGACACGGGCCAGGTTCGAAAATGCCTTGATGTGGTAGAAATCTACAACCCAGATGGGGACTTCTGGCGAGAGGGCCCACCCATGCCAAGTCCACTGCTCTCACTTCGAACCAATTCTACCAATGCAGGAGCAGTGGATGGGAAACTGTATGTCTGCGGGGGATTCCATGGTGCAGGTATTGGCCCAGTTTTAAACGGTTTTTAACCTTCTTTGGTGTTGATTTTTACCTCCTTTCACTAACACGATCACCAGTGAGTGAGTGCCCCTGAAAGCAGTGCAAGCACTGGCAGAGCCTGGCTTGTAGGGTTCAGTGACCCTGAGCAACTCCCCAGACCTCTGGACCTGGGCTCTCACCTCTTCAAAAGGGAGCTACTACCTCCACAGGCTGCTGTAAGAATTCAGCAGGATCTGGTTTATAATGTATCTGGCACAGAGCAGACACTCCATACATAGTGGTTGAATATGAAGAGAAGAGACATGGGAAAGGTAGACTGATGCCTGACAGTAGGACTAAAGTAAAGGAGAGATGTAAAAATGGGAAGAACTGGTAGAAGTGGAGTAATGCCCAGAAGTGCTGGGTTTTATCTCTGACTTTATTGATCAAGTCTTAGAAAACTCTCTTACTCTTACCCCACTCTTACCACTTGAAATAAATTGCTTGAAAGTATTTCTAAAGCAATACCTAACACATATTTTTATTACTGAGCTTAGTTTCCATGTATCTAATTGTACCATCATTGCATTCCATGGTATGGAGTCATAATTTTTAATATCAGGGAGATTTTAAAATATGCATAAATCTAGTAGGCAGATGTCTCCAAAGTTTGATTAGTTGCCTCAGTAAATAAGGCAGAATACAGTTAGAGTAAAAATGAGTAACTGTTGAGTTGTAATCTCACTGTCAAAAATTTTACTTTATACATCAGATGCCATGCTTGGGTAAAGGTTGTAACCTATCATAGTAGCAAGAAACCTGGCATGGCAAGGAGGCCTAATAAGTACCCTTTGTTCAAGGCATGAATGTAAGAAGGGATATGAGGAGTCGGGAGGGAGAGCGCAGGTGCTGGGCTCACGAATCCAGCAGGCTCTCCTCCAGCTGTGACCACATGCACTCCTCTCAATCCTCTAGCCATAGGCTTTCTCTTGACCAGAAAAGAAGGGCAGAGAATACAAGGGCATGGCCTCAGGCCCTCCTGAGGGATGGGTGGTAATTCTTGTATAAGGACTAGAAGCATTTTGTTTTGTCTTGTTTCTTTATCTTTCTTTGTATAATATTGAGTTAGAGAATTGATGTCCTCCAGTTTTTCAAACATATATAATAAATTCATACAGTGAGCCAACCTCTCTTTCAGCTGGAGGGAAATGGATTTGCTGTATGAGTGCTCAAAGCCCATTTTAATTATTTGGTTCTAAGATGGTAGATTTTCTGGGATTAGCTGGATGAATTGTCACTGGGATTTTATGCAAGTAGAACAATTGTATGATAGCATGCCCAATATGATCTAGAGAGCTCATCATCGGACCTGAAAACAGACACTGAATTTTCTCTCCTTGTGTAACACAGGTTTGTTCCATTTATATATTGAGAAAAAACAGTCAATAAATTAATCTTTTTAATATATCTTGTCAATTCAATAAAAATTTATTGAAACATATCATGAACAAGCATTTGGTATACAATCTTGAGATGTTCAACAGTTGATGGGAAATACAAATACGTAATAAATACAGTAATTTGGTTTTGGTTAAAATAGTGGGTTAAACACCTCTATTCTCTCTCCAAGCCCCACTAAAATTAAAGTAAATGGAATAAACACTGTCAGACAAAGAAAAGGAGAGAAAGGACAATAGCAACAAGATTTTGGAAACTGAAAAGCAGATTAAGTAATAACTCACCATTACCAAACTGAATGGAGCTCATTTTCCCGCACACAACAGAAAGTCAAATACCAAATCACCAGTCTTTGCAGAAGAGAAAAAGTTTTATTCGCAAGGTGGCCAAGTGAGAAGACAGGAGATTTTATCTCAAATCTGTCTAATCCACAGCAGGAAAGAAGGTATATTTATAAGGACATGGGAGATCATGATTGGTTAAAGAGTTTGAGGGAGTTCTTCAGGGATCTGCACAGGCACAAGCCATCTGTATGCCTCTGCATGTTCAGAAAATGGTGTTGTTGGGCTGGCCCGGTGGCGCACTGCTACAGTGCGCTGCTTGGGAGTGTGGCGGCGCTCCCGCCGAGGGTTCGGATCCCACATACAGACCGGCCACTCACTGGCTGAGTGAGGTGCGGGCGCAACACCGAGGGTTGCGATCCCGTTGCCGGTCACGAAAAAAGACAAAAAGGAAAAAAAAATGGTGTTGTTAACAGGATCTGGAGGTGGAGGTTTTGGCCCTCTAACATCAAAAAACCCACCATCAGGTATTCATGCAGGCTCAGTAGAGTTCTGTGGGCTCAACTTGGTTTGTGTTAGGCTAAGCTAATTCCAGTGATCCTGAAAAACACCTCCAGGAGCACAACTCGTGACTTCTGCCCCAGAGACATTATCTCAAAAGGCAGATAGGAAGAAATAAATGAAAGGTTAGTTCTGGAATTTTACTGAAAGAAAAAGCAATCTAAGCAGGGAATAAATTTTAATGGAAAAGCTACAGTTACATAACTATACCTGAGAAAGTTTAATACTAAACTGTCAACAGGAAAAGCAAAAAACAAACACCCTAATTTGTACCACAGAACCCAAGATAATCTCAATATTTGGCAACAACAGGTAACTCTGGAAGAGGAAATGAAGATAACACTGAAAACATGAAGATTAGGTGAAAGACAAGAAGACCTTAATCTCCTGCCCTACTCTCTACAGTAAAATAAAGACCTTCCTTTGCCCCAACAAAGGCTGAGATTAAGGACAGGAGTTGAGGTCAGGCATCCATACTAAAAACAGGGGAATTAAGTGAAAGATTGCATACTGAATATTGAGATCCCCAGTTTTCTTCCCTGGCTCCCAGAATGTGGACAGCCATACCCTCAAAGCAAGAGATTGGAAGTTTCTTCTTTAGTGATCTGATCAGCTCCAAAAGCAAAGCCAGATCACCCTGTAGAAAATCTCACAGAAGAATATTCTATGGTATCCCACAGCTAAGGATCACCAGATATTTGAGGAAAGTATGTATATGAAAGACAAGTCAGAACAAATAAATAAAGAAAAGCAGATTGGAGGAAACAGAGCCCATGCCAGGAGAAGTATCCTCAGAGAGATAAGAGAAAATACTGCATTGATAGAATAGGAAAGGGATATTTAAAAGTTTTCTGGAAAATTAAAAATATTCTAGCAGAAATACATCTACAGTGGAAAATTTGGAGGGTATATACACTGGAGGAAACTTCTTAGAAAGCATATCAGAAAGCAGTTACAGTTGTGGGCCACATAATGTCATTTCTATCAATGACCAACCTCATATATGACGGTCCCATAAGATTATAATGGCTGTACCATATAGCCTAAGTGCGTAGTAGGCTATACCATCTAGGTTTATGTAAGGACAATCTATGATGTTCACACAATGTCAAAACTACCTAATGACACATTTCTCAGAATGTATCCCTGTCGTTAAGTCATCTACATGACTGTAGATGGAAAATGAGAGAAAGAGAAGTCACATCCAGGAGGTCCAACATTTGTATAATAGGGTCTGGCAAAAGAGAACAGAGGAAATAGAGGGGAATTAATCTTACATGAAAATTTCCCAGAGTTTAAGTCACCAGATTGAAAAGATACACTGAATGCCCAGGGAAATAGGTGAACACAGACCCCAAATAAAGCACAGTGTTGTGACATTACAGAATATTGAGGACAAATAAAGTGTTCTAAAAGTTTCTAGAGAGGAAAAAAATAGTTTTATACAAAGTTCCAAGAATCAGACTTCTGAGCTGGAAGCTAGAAAAAAATGAAGAAAATGCCTTCACAAATTCTATGGGGAAATTATTTTCCACCTACACTTCTATACTTGCTGACCTATTAATTTAGTGTGAGGGCACAATTTCAGACATGCCATGTCTCAAAAAATTTTTCTCCTGTGTGCCCTTTTATCAGGATATGCTTCACCAAAAATGAAGGTATAAACCAACAAAGAGTAGGCAAGGGATCCAGGAAGTCCAGGATTAAATGTAATAGAGATAAAAGGAAATTCCTGGGAGGGTAATGAAGGAGGATCCAAGAACAACAGCTGCACAGCAGGCCTAAAGAGCATCCAGTACAGAAAGGACCTGGTCAGGGAGCTCTGGGGGAGATATCTTGAAGAAGAGAAAACTGATGTACATTTGGAAAAGAGCAATGAAAACTAACAAAAATAAGACAACTTCAGAGAAGATAGTAAGTTGTGTAGGAGAGCAAAGTTTTGCCACACAGCTCATCTGTGAATAGCATTTATAATAAAAATGTCATAATAATGAAAATACTAAATATTGAGCTAACCAAAACTATGCCATAACTGTACTGGAGAAATAGGGAAACAGAAAGTAGGCAGAGATGGTGGGGATGTGAGAGAAAGCTAAATCCACATTTTCCTCAGTGGAAGTCAACAGTTAATGCCTTCATCTGGGAAATTAAGACATGACAGTAATACAGAAATTGTTATTTCTAGATATAGTGGTAGATGCCAGAAGAATCAGAGTGGGAAGAAATGCAGCAACTGGGGAGTTGAGCAGGGGACAACTGTTTTCAAGGAATAAGACTTTTAAAGCTATTTGACTATTTAAATTATGTAAATGTGTAACTGGTAAAACAAAAACCAAATTTGAAATATATACATATAGTACAAGAATAACAAGGAGAATATTAAAGAAAATATTAACAGGTGAGTTGGTTGGGAGACAATTCTCCTTGAGTCTCATGTGTTTCTGCATGTCTTATGAGTAGAGGCACTGACTGCCTTTGTTCTGTATTATCTTTTCAAGCATCTTTGTATAGCAGACAGCCTTGTAAGATAGAAATAGTACCTCGCTCCACAGCAAAGGGCAGGCATGCTTACTGGCCATTATATGAGATCAGGTTCCCTAAGCTCAGGGTTTCTCTCGATTAATGCGACCCACTTATGGTACAGGTTTTTGCTGGGACTCTTCATGTTGCCCTGTGGGAACAGAGGCTCACATAACTGGCATAAAAATTGCTGATACATAA